TCATTAAGAAATATTGGTATATTTTCTTCCAGGTCACCACAGAAGTCACCGGCATCGCAGTCACTCCAAGTCCCCAGAAAGGTAATACTTAGATATATCAAATGAATTTACATTTTTGTCTTTGTTTTTACCCTCTTGTTTCATGGTGCATTTGTCTCTTTGTGTTCTAGTCGGTCAAAGAAGAGTCACAAGAGAAGTCGAAGAGGAAATGAGTGATCTCCGTTTTCTGTGTGAATTTTTTTTTCTTGTTTTATAGATATTTTTTTGCTCTGTAATATATGGAGAAACGGAGCCATTTCTGTCATAAAAAGCTTGAACTTATTCTGTGTAAATTGCCCAAGCCCAGTTTAGTCCTCATAGGTTTTTGATGCTGTTTTATACTTTTAATTGACATTTACAACCATAAATTGTAGATTTTTTTTTCATCCTGAATTAACTGTACTTTGTAAAATAAACATTTGATGTATTGTAGTTCCATTTTTCATGTTATAAAGACAATGATTGAAACGGTCTACAAGAAAATTGACTTTGCTGTTATTTTGGTATGATTTCAGTCTCTGAATTTGGAGACTTCTGTACAGGTACATTCGATTCTACAACAAAATTGAAGTTGAACAGCTAAAGCCAAGAAAAGTCTGGACATAACTGCTCTTGTACTGTTTTAGTGCTCTGGGATAAAGTTGGCCAAACTGCATTTAATTTCATGAGAGAGATGAAATATTTATTTTAAATATAAAGTAGGGTAATAAGCAAAACGTAAAGCAACCTAACTTTTACTTTTGAATTTCAAAAGAAAAGACATGTAGAAGTGTACAAAGGGTGGTGGACTGTATAGATTAAGGGACACTTGAATGAGTTTCAGATTGATCGTAATATTTTCGTGTGATCCGTGACTAAAATGACATGGTGTTTAGGTATTTTTGTAATTTGGCAAATAACGAAGATCAAATCTTCATTTAAATTTTTATCCTCGTCACTTGAACTAGAAAAAAAGTATGACGGTGAGGAAATTGTTGTAATGTTAATGTTATGGAGACTTTTATTTTGACGGATGTTTTTAGAGAACAGCGAACAGGAAGTAAATTCGTCAACGTTATGAGAAAATATTAAACTAATTTTTAATCAACCTGGATAGTTGTATAGCGGAGAAATTCCTTAAACTATTAATACACTGTAAGTATATATATATAAGAACAAATAATATAAAAACGATCCCTGACCTAGGAAAAATATTCCTTGTTATGATGCGCCACATGGGACACTAGTTGACCTGATTTTACTGGGAGAAATGCAGCATATTCAACGCGCTCTGCGTCTTGTCATTCATTCTCACAAGTTTTATTGTCGAATGGTATGTTATCTAACTGTCTGTGTTATTCACGGCACTAACTAGACAATTAAGAGCAAACCGATCTGGAGGTTAAATTGATGTGATTTCGACAATGATTTAAATTCCCTTTATATTAAAATACAAGGACTGTGTTTTTCAAATTAATTGAATTATTAATTTTATAATGTTTGCTAAACCAAAGGTTTTGCTGTCCTCAAAATGCAGTCCAGGATGTTTTACAATATTTACTGTACATCCTGCTTGAGCTGCTGTGGAAGTCAGCTGATAAGTCAGCAGGTTACACTTCATTTCATTCTGCTCCTAAATTTGAGCACTGAACAGTTTGCATTCATTGCGCCTCCTGCAACCTTTCTGTGAGTGTTTAGGGTTTAGATTGATTTACTAGAGCAGGGATTAAATTATAGATTTAATATCCTGAAGTCTATTCCATGTATGAACACTGTTCAAATGGTGTTCTTTGTTTTCTTTTCTCTGAAGGCACACAGGATGAGTATGAATGACTTTGCTGTTCTCAGCACTGGACGAAAGATGCCCCTTGTGGGACTTGGGACGTGGAAGAGTGAACCAGGACAGGTAAGTTTACTGTGCATCATCCCAACTGTAATTATGACAGAATTTGAATCTGAATATGCTGTATTGAGAATGACAGCAGGTTTACTAGGATATACAGTTCTTCAGTATATTATCCAATAAGTTCTGCAATAATATTTTGCTTTAATTATTGTGTATATGTGTAGAACTCCAAAAGCATTTTGTATAAATATGTTATCAATTGCAGGTAAAACAGGCAGTTATTTGGGCACTGCAATCTGGCTATCGGCACATTGACTGTGCTCCCATTTACGGGAATGAGCCAGAGATCGGTGAAGCATTTCAGGAAATGATGGGACCTGAAAAAGTAGGTCAACCAAGTAGATTACAAATATGAAACACATACCCACACACTGAAATATATAATGCATGTGTGCTTTACAACTGTTGTCTTCTTTCAGGGCATAAGGCGAGAGGATGTATTTGTGACCTCCAAACTGTGGAACACAAAACACCACCCAGATGATGTGGAACCATCTCTTTTAAAGACTTTGAAAGATTTGAAGCTGGAATACCTAGACCTTTACCTCATCCATTGGCCATATGCCTTCCAGTAAGCCTCCAGCTATTCTCATAATGAATATATATATATATATATATATACAGTATCTCACAGAAGTGAGTACACCACTCACATTTTTGTAAATATTTATATATATATATATGTATGTATTAATTCAATATACACACACACACATAGACAGAGTACTATGTATGAATTAATTTTCTTAGAACTAACTTAAGTTCTAAAATAAAAAAAGAGAGAGATTAAAGGGTGCAAGACTCTGTAATAGTCCATTGTTATAATAGTCTTATCTAGGTTATCTTGTTTATTGCTAATATAAACATGATGTTTTCTTTATCTCATTTGGGGAATTAATTATGAAATGCTCATTAGTAGGGATATCCACCCAAAAAATGAAAATGATGTCATCATTTAAAGAATTTTGAAGACTGTTGGTACTAAACAGTTCTAGTTCACATTGGCTTCCATTGTATGGTCAAAAAAAATGATGGAAGTCAATTGGAACTGAAACGGTTTGGTTACTAACAACATTCTTCAAACACCAGTGGTCTTCCACCAAAAGAAAAAAGTCTTACAGTTTGGAATGACATGAGGGTGAATAAATAGGACAGAATTTTCTTCATCGGGTGGACTATCCCTTTAATGTGCTCTGCCTTTTTTCAGATACCAGTCAAGTGTTTAATCTTCTTATTTTTGTCCAGACGAGGTGATACCTCTTTTCCTAGGAAGGAGGATGGAACCTTGCTGTATGACAACATAGACTACAAGCTGACATGGGCTGCTATGGAAAAACTTGTGGGAAAGGGCCTTGTCAGGGCCATCGGGCTCTCGAACTTCAATAGCAGGCAGATCGATGACATCTTGTCAGTTGCAAGCATCAAACCAACTGTTTTGCAGGTCAGAAGAAAATTTGATGTTATAATTTATGTGGTCCATTATATCAGTTTGTAGAGTAACAATAGTGTTTTGCAGGTGGAGTCCCATCCATACCTTGCACAGGTTGAGCTGTTGGCTCACTGCCGGGATCGGAGTTTGGTGATGACCGCCTACAGTCCGCTAGGATCTCCTGACCGAGCCTGGAAGCATCCAGAGGAGCCTGTGCTGTTGGAGGAACCAGCCATTGCTGCACTAGCCAAGAAATATAACAAGACTCCTGCACAAATTATCATCAGGTAAATTCAGGCTTTTGCACTAGTTGTGTGTGGTGTTTCCTCACGGATTATTACATAGTATTTCTTCAATGGTATTTCGGCAGGTGGCAAACTCAACGAGGAGTAGTGACTATCCCAAAGAGCATTACAGAGTCTCGGATCAAAGAGAATATCCAGGTTTCTGCATGTTTTTTTGTTATTCTTTATGTTCTAGAGTGTTTATGACTGTATTGTAACTATGCAATACATTTGCTCTGCTCATTTACAGGTGTTTGGGTTCACACTTGAACCTGAGGAAATGAATCAAGTGACAGCAGTGCACAGAGGCTGGCGTTACATTGTGCCAACCATTACTGTAAGTTACATTACTGTAAGCCACATCATACAACAAAACACTCAATTTTACATGGCCTTTAACAAAGAGGTTACTTTAAAACAAAATATAATGTTGAAGCTGCTGTTTTTAAGTGTGCTGAGTGTTAAGACTTTGCAAATCAAATGCATTCCAAAAGTAGTTTGCTCTTACATATGCTGTTGCATCTATTTTTGTAGGTTGATGGTAAGTCTGTCCCCCGGGATGCAGCACATCCTCACTACCCTTTTAATGACCCCTATTAATGCACACTTCTGTGTGATTCTGTGCCTTGGAACCAATGCCCATTCACTACTCTGTATACTTCTAAATATAATAAAACTTTTTTGTTACATATTGAAATGTGTTCTTACTTTTTTTGTGTGTGTGGAATGAAACTTGATGAACAAGGGCTGATTTTAAATGTATTCACAATGTTTAAGGGTGAATTTTATGAAACTTGTCAAGAATATGTCTGGATTATCACTTTTAAAAGAACAAATTTACATTTTGAAAATAAAGCATGTTTTTAAGGGCCTTAAGGTTATTTTGACATCAGTTAATCAGACTCTAATTATCCTAATGATTATATATATATATATATATATATAATTTTA